GAACCTATTGCAATAAAACGGCAATTTCATACTTTAACCCCTAATATAATATTATTTTCGTTTTTTAATGCTATCAAAATACGTTATCTTACTTCCCAATAATTTATTTCTAATTCGCAAAACAATTTAATACAATATAGGCGTTATAGGTCTAACAAAATTTACACGTAATAGATGAACGCGTTACACGGTACGGTCTGTTCGATAATATAAAGTTTTTAGAGTGCATAGGCGTGGCGAGAATTTCATTGGTCATTATTGGTTGAAAACATCCGCTTTTTGTCTTCAAAAGAACGAAGCAGCGTAGGTGTAAGATAAGTTAATACCAAAATATTATCTATTTTATTGTTGACATAAAGATCGGACATAAAGAAAAGAGAAAAGTTCCTTCGATCTGACTGTACATGAACCAGCTTTTGTTACCATTCCGGGACCACCGCTCTTATTCAACTGAGGTACAGACCGAGTTAGCAGACCTTATGAATTTCTATGACTTTTTTTAATAATATCAAGTGACGGAACGAACAAGTCGTGTACCTGATAGTAGGCTACACGCCTGTCCATAACAGTTGCAGTGCCACTCACAGCTTTACATCCCAAAGATCAGAGGGGCACTGCCACTGCGCTCGTCACCCTAAAACATAAGTTGAGTCCCATGTGCCTGTAATTTCACCAGCAAAATTCCTTAATAATAACTTCAAAACCGGAAAACAGTAATGCTGACGTTACTGCTTGGCGGCAGTAGGTAAGGTGGCAGTACTTCCCTGGACGAAATCTTTCCAAAGCTCTACTGCTACTAATTGCTGTTATCTACTTTTTGCGTCTAAACAGCTTTTTTCGCGGTCAACGCACCTGTGACCAACTTATGAAGTTAAACACTCAGCCAGGTACCTCCCGAAATCGACGAGAGATATCGCTTTATTAATTTCAATATCTATTTGTTGAATACCGTGATGTCCAGTCAGATCGAGATTTTTTCTTTGTGTTCGATTTTTGTATCAATAATAATAACAAACTAGTGGAATGTATTTTAGCAAAAAATATACGAAAATCAGGCTAATAAAACACCGTGATATACAATAAATAAATATTGCAAAAATAATCTTTCTTTTCTTTTTATAAAAATATAAGTGCGCATTTGAATTCTATCTCACCTGATGAAAAGTGACGATGAGGTCGACGATGAAGCATGCACACCTACACAATACCTGTTCACTCTCGCCTTGAAAAGGTTCAATTTATAACGTTCAGGGAAAACAAGTATGCAGGCAGGGAATTCCACTCAATAGCCGTTAGCCATATAAATGTGGAAGCGTAACGCTTCGTGCGAATCTTTGGAATATTTACAACACAGGGGTGGAACCCAAGCCTATGTGTAGTCCCTCGGTGATGGAAAGAGGAATGCGTGCAAAACGTGGGTCAAAGTCAAAGTCAAAGTCAAAGATTATTTATTCCATAGGTAAAATAAATTTACACTTGAAATCGTCACATTTAAGCTACTGCTCGTTCACTACGCTGAACTCCTTGAGAAGAACGAGCAAGAAACTCTAGGGATTGTTCTTTTCAAATAAACTTAAATGCTACGGAATACACTTTGAATCAAATTTGTGTGGATTCTGGAGCCATGTCGTCTTTCCATACATCTTTATCTAACACGTAGTCTTCATTTTGTAATATGATTTTTCGATCAAAATATTTTTAATGTAGTTTTTAAACTTAGGAAATGATAAACTTAACATATGCTCCGAAATCTTATTGTAAAAACGTATACAGTTCCCCATAAAAGAGTTGTTTACCTTGGTTAAACGAAATCGTGGTACCATGAGTTTGGACTTAGCTCTAAGGTTAATATTATGTATATCTTCTTTCTTATTGAAATTATGTATATTTTTACGAGCATATAAAATATTTGAGTAAATGTACTGTGATCATGATACCAGTCTCCTTAAACTTTTCTCTGAGAGAAACCCGAGAGCCTAGACGGTACACAGAACGAATCGCTCGTTTTTGCAATACAAATATGGTTTGAATATCTGCCGCTTTACCCCACATGAGAATCCCGTAGGACATTATACTATGAAAGTAATTAAAGTAAACTAGTCTAGCAGTACTAACATCGGTAAGCTCAAGTATTCTTCGGACTGCGTATGCAGCGGAGCTTACCCTGCTGGCCTGGGAAGATATATGTGGAAACCATTGAAGTATACTATCTAAGGTCACTCCCAAGAAGACTGCTTTATCAACAAAGTCTAACTTTTCTCCGTTTATTTCTATGCTTGGACTAGTCGATTTTACGTTAGGTAATTCAAATGTAACACTTTTTGTCTTCTTGGCATTAAGCAATAAATTGTTAGCATTAAACCAATAAACTACCTTAGAGAGGGTATCATTAATATGGTCATAGTTAATGTCATGTCTGTCTGTTTTAAAAATCAAGGATGTGTCATCAGCAAACAGCACAATTTCGCAATGGTCCTTAACAAATCATTAATATAAATCAGAAATGAAAAGTGGTTGCCACTTAACAGTGCAAAAAATTTGACTAAAAGTAGCTCCTGGATAGCAATAGTTGACTACCCTTTGTTTTAAGTGGTTACTTAGGTGGTGGCCTAGTCCTACGCCTATTTTATCAGAAAAAACTACCGTTCTTCTGGATGACCTGGTAGGAGTTCTAATAGTCTTGGTTGACCGTTGACTATGTCGAACTTCAACTGTTGTAATGGAGCAGATACGTTTTCCTGCAGCTGCAGCTGCTGGTTGCGTTGATGATGTGGGTGGTGGGGGTGGAGGCTGATTTATTTCTACTGGATCATTTGTTTCACTAAGCTCATTCCGAAGAAGGTGGGAGTCGTCGAACAGAACTTTTTCACGTTTGAACTTCCTACCTTATGACCAAATACAGATCCAAAAAGTGATTCAGATACTACAACAAAAACTTTAATGTTTATTTTTGATACGTTTATCATGTTTTGTCTAAAATCACGGAACAAAAGTTGTTGTTTATGATGTTAGTAATCTAGTCCTGAAAGGTTGTTACCATTTTTTGGGACACAACTGTAACAGTATGGGGAAATCCGAAACCATAAGAGATACATGGAAACTGTCTTAGGAACCATTAAGCCTTTTTTCTGTGAAAACAATTTTGATTTGTCAATTTTTTTGTCAAGAGTGAGTTGTCAATGAAATTGATCAATTTTTTTAGTACCGCGCACGCATGCCGTACTGCTCGTTTTGTATGGAGTTATTATACTTGTCTTATTATAAAATGTTTCCGATCTCAGATTAAATTTGTATCGATTAGTATCATTCTATCATGATACTGATCTATAGAGGTTTAATCTATATAAAGAAAATACGTGGCTAGTGAAAACACCGGCCTGAATAGGATCATTAAAACGATTATGACTTACTAAACTCAATGTCAAATTTCTACACCGCCGTAGTGGTCATTGTTATAGACCGTACTATGAATAATTTATCATATAACAGTCATATACATATTTTTAATGAATGGCTTGTGAGACAATAGTCTCAATTCTGCCAGTGTAAATCACAAGTGCAATTGCAATTGCGCGTTTGCATCGTTGCTTAAATCTGCCTCGTGTACTTTCCATGCTCTCCACCCTGTGCATTAGTCATACTTATTTACCCGACGATGTGATAAAGACAATTGTTGTCCCTGTACCTAAAAACCGCACGGGGGATGCGGCGACATTTACAAACGGTTGTTCGTGAAACGCGCGATTGCATCGCTACACTTGCGATTTCATAGGAGCTTGCATCGATGCAAACGCGCAACTGCGTCGATACAAACACGCGATTGCGTTGATATAACTCCCAAATGTAGCGATGAAATCGCGCCTTTATATCGAGGTAGTCGCGCGATTTCATTACGTTTGCATCGCTGCCGCTGTTTAAAATTTCGCGTGTGTATAAAGGTAGACGATTAGCGACTGCATCGCGTTTGCATCGCTGCTAAAAGTGGCCGTGTGTAACCGCTCTTATACACCAGAACGAATGATTAGAGCTTAATACAATATACATATATATTATACAGTACCTACTGTCTAACCATATCAAAAATCTTAGAAACGGCAGTTTTGATACCCTCACTCGCAAACTTAGAAATTACCATATAATATTACACATCGCCTCATCTCATCACCTCTCTTACAACAGTTTTTAACTAATAGGACAACTAAAGTTAGCAGGATTCCACCACAACCTAAAATGTTCATACACAGTCGTTTCTTTCACTTTTTCCTCGTTATTAAGCAAAGTACAAAAACCGCAATAATCGTTGGTTTCAGCTGTCTCTGCTCTTTTATGGAACGAGTAATGACTCCTCCACCTGAAGTATGACGAATATTCTTCCATGTTGTGCATCAGATTATTCATTTTAGCTGCTAGTTTTTTGACACCTAGCTCTCTCGCGTTTATGTAACTTCCATCTGGTAAAAATCTGAAATGTAAAAAATGTATCAATTTTTAATTTTGCACGGTATTGCATTAATTAGGCCCAACAGCACTATCTCCTTGATAAGAGTACTTCTTTAGATATCTTTCGATTACATTTACCAATGTATAAAACTGATTCAATTGATATCCGTCATTAACGTTGACGGCTCGCTTTTTACTATGTCATAGATAACATATATTATATAACACTTATTTTAATTTTTAGTAAATAAATAAAAAATAATTTATTATTACCAATAGCATCATACCCGCCAAAACATGTTTCAAAACTTACATGACGTAGACTTCCATTATCAACCTAACAATGTAATTTTAGAGAGGAAGGTACAGTCTTGAAACGCCCCGTCGGTATAATATCGTTCTTCCTTAGTATTTAATTTCACAATAACAATTGAAAATATTATATTTAACTATTCTCTGACCTTGTATAATTAGCGCCTCCATAAACGATCGGAATCGCACTGTATTGCAAGCCATGTAAAATCTTCTCAGTAACATAATCTTCACTAAATGAATTTTCAAACGCTAAATAGAAAAAGTAATTATCCTCTACAAGCTTGTCACACTTTTTTTCATCACTTCGGTCACAATGGAACTTCCCACAAACTCCATAAATATCGATTTTGAGATCATACTTGACTAGTTCGACCTGCAGGTCTTTCACAAATGTTTCACGTCTGTTTTTAGCGTAACAGTTAGATACAAACCAAGCAGCTGCTTTAGACTTCCTTTTAAGTACCGACAATAACTCACTGGGAACGGGTTTCATGTCTTCTGTTTTCATCCAGTGCATTTCTTTTTTGGGACCAATTATTTTACCTTCTTCATTTCTCACTACTATATAACCCCATTTTGAATCTGAATCAAGTTTAAACGTCCAGGTCCAATTAAAATATCCATCGAATATACTATCACATACCGGATAGTAATGTGATGACTCTATGCTACCAAATACGAATTTCTGATGAGGTGACCGCTTTTGTGGTAACGTTGGTCTTTTCATATATCTTACATCTGGTCCGTTGAAAGCAACAACATCGAACTTGGTAATATCTCCAAGGTAAGACGCATCCGACGTTACAAAACAATTTGTGTATTTACAACCATACTCGATGAACGCCTCTTGACCTTTGCCCATATAAACAAATGGCGAATGACTCCGTGGAGTCCACTGAAGTATGTACTTAAGGTTGGTGTTGTCATTTTCTTTTTGTTTTGTACTGATATTTGCAAACTTTTTTGTATTGTTATCTTTTTCTTCATTCATCATGTCTTCATTTTTAGTATTCTTGGCTTTGTCAACACGGTTTTCGATGTTTTTTAATTGTTCTTTAGCAAAAATATTTATCTTTGTCTCATCCATCCACGTGGGATGAGTATTAAGAACTGAGACGTAAACAAACAGCAAGAGAAATGCGGCGATGAAAAATACAAAAAACTTGCCTAATAATGGATATCCCATATTGTTTCAGGATCGAACTGACATGTATGTGTTTCACAACCGTGTAACTGACTGAACTTTTCGTTATCAAGCTAACATTTGATAACTTATCTTCGATTCCATCGTAGTTGACTTGCAAAACAATTAAGTATGTAACTGTTCCTTACTTCCTTTATTTATAAAGACTGATAATAATCATTGTTAGTTATTAGTAGGATTTCTGCTCGAGATTTCTCGACTCGAGAAATCTCGGGAAATCTGGCCAAAGAAAAATATCCTCGAGAACTCGAAAAATCGAGAAATCGAATTATGTTTTTAAATTACTGAAAAATTTACTTATAAATGTTTTGCAGACGATGGAAAAGTCCAAAGTTTGGAAATATTTTACGAAGAACAAAGATTCATTAAACGCGCAATGCTTTTATATGTCCTAGACAGATGATCAACAAAAGTTTTTGTGAGTATGTAACAGATGTCTAAATCTGTTACATACTCACAACATTTCTTGGAATGCATTAGAAGATATAGAGGCATCAACTTCTTGTGGTATGATGTCTTTTTGTTGATTCGTTTTGTTTTTTTTTTCATAAGACACGTCATTATTTGTAATATTTATTTGTTTGTAATGTGGCTTGTTTCATTTTGTTCAGTTGATTGTAATAGCTAAATGTTGATTATTTATAAATCTTCCCAAGAATTATGTGGTTTAAGACTGGTTGATTTGATAATAATAACGTTGATCTCATCGTCGTAAATAAATAAAATATGTTGATTTTATTATGCATTGTGTTTGTTTGTATTTGTATTTAAGGTAAATGTCCCAGTGGTTGACACGGTCCCACTTTTGCATTTTGTCTCAAAATGGAAAAGATATTACTCCAAAACCGTGTTAAATGTACTAGTAACGACATCTATGAATTTAATTTAAAAGCTTTCATCGATTCATTCAATAATTTTTGAAGCAAGTGATCGGAGTGTAAAGTGCGTCGCTCTTGTTATAGAAATCGTTAAGACTTTGAATAGTTTAAGTGAATTTATCAAGCGGAATATTATTATTTACCGGTAAGTGTTTATTAAAACTATTAGATAACTGTAAAAACAATTAATTATGTGTGTATTTATTTATTTATATCGCTTATATTTTATTTTAGAGGCATGTCAAATACTGGTGCAAAAATTTTATGTTTACTAGTACTTGACACCCATGTCAAGCACTCGTACGTATGAATATTTTTTGAAACTTAATTTTGCCCTTTAGGTAAAGATGGAGAACATAAGTTTGGATTACTCTGTTAGTGACAAGTTTCTATGGGTAGTTTAAGTAGTGTTTGACATGGGTGTCAAAGATTGTTTTACTATGGGGACCCAATAATTGACAGTTGTATATTGAGGTGTCAAACATTAGGGCGTAACTAGTGTCAACTATTGTCTACGGGTATTGTTCAATGAAAAAATGCCACTAATTCCCGCCTTATTCTGATGATGATGTATTGAAGGCGGTAGACGAAGTATCAAGAAGAATTTCTATCGCACCAGCTGCGAGAAAATATGGGATACCGCGGATTATTTTACTGTATAAAATTTTACTAACTTAAAATTTCATGAAATTTATATCAACATTTTAGTAACTCATTTTTATATGAAATTTTGCACAGAGACTAGATGAATTACGCATTATTTTGGATCCTTTAATATAACTACACCTTTCTGTTACATCAGTATATTTTCTATTTCTACTTTCTATTTTGTATGTTTTTTGCATGCACTTACTTACCTTGACTACAAAGGTAAGTAAATATTCATTAAGTGTAATTAAGCATGTCGATTGTTAGGGTTTTTCTTATTTTTTAAATTTATTGTTATCAAGTGATTAATGCGTTTAAATAACTATGAAATCTTAACATAACATTCTGTCAAATACTGGTACTCCGATCTCACTGTGCCATAGTCAACTATCGGGACATTAGAAATTTTCCTGACATACACTGGTACAATTTTAGAGGTAAAGGAAAACTGGAATATATTAATAATGCCTATGATTATTTTAAATTTTATAGTTCCTAGAAGATAAATGACAAACCGTTTAATATGTTAACATACCTACAGAGGTAGTCAGTATGACTGATTATTAAGTACTTTTTGGCAAAATACGTGATTTTCCATATAAAAGCGTCAACCACTGGGACATTTACCTTATAGATGACTAAGCTGATTTTTTAAGGATTTAAAAAAATTCTCGAACAACTCGAGAAACCCGGGATATCGAGCTCGAAATTCCCGAAGCTCGAGGAAAAACATGTCGTGAAATCAGAAACCCTAGTTATTAACCAGCTCTACACTATACACATCTGTTAAAACATGCAAATCTACATATACATTCTAATATATGTATAAAGGCTGAAACAACAGAAGACTTCGTG